TCCCTAATAGTGGATGTTCAAGTGCAAGAATTACTATCATGAATAGAAAATTAAGCTCATGCTTTAACAAAATGCAAACTCTCTAAATCACATAAAACTAGTCGGAATAGGGAATTAACATCCCTGAAAGAATTTCGAGAAAACCATAACTATAGCACCATCATGGATATGTACAACTACAACCTACCAACACCCAAGTCCTATTGAGTGGGTCCAGCCCACTTGTGTGGTAATTAAAAACCACGTGCAGCCCAAAAGGAAATTAATTGGCCCAAGTAATTAATGTTGTTTAATTAGGTCAATTGGTGGTAGTAGAATTATAAATTCTCAAAAACCATGGCTGAGAAGAATTCTAGGGATAAAGTCAAAAACTGTGGCTATATAAAAAGATATCTCTCTCTCTAAACAGTGGCCGAATTGTGAGACACAAAAATTGTGGCTGTAAGTTGTCAGACAAAAATAGAGGTTGAAAACGGTGACTACTAGCGTGAGAATTGAGAGAAGTAGAAGCCGTGACTGCGTGAGGTGGAAATAGAGAGAGACTACCGGCACGTGGAGAGAAAAATAAAAGGGAGAAAAAGGATTTTTTTTCTTCAACATTGGGTGTGGTATCACACAGGTTTATTTTTCTTCTCTACACATATCAAATTGGAATTTTCTAAGTTGTATTTTGGATGCTTTAGTGGGTGTAGTATTCAAAGTGGGTTTTCACAAGGTTAATCAAATTGTTGATTTGTGGTGAGATAATTGTAGTATTAGAGATTGGTTTATTGTGGTATTCCAATTTTGGAGAATTCAAGTTTAGGGGCATAAACTTGAATAATTGTAATCTATATTTTATTATAGTGAATTTTGGCCGGAGTTGCCCCGTGATTTTTTTCCCTCTACACTGGAGGGTTTTTTCCACATAAAAATTTGGTGTTCCGTTTTGCTTGTTTTTTGCTTTGATCATCTGATTGCATATTTAATTGCTCCAGTTAATTGCTTGGATTGGTAAATTTATTTTTACAATAATTGAATTTGCCCAACAAAGTGGTATCAGAGCTGAGGTTGTGTGCGTGTGGTTTTATTGCGGAATAAATGGAAAATACTTCGGGCACTATGATTAAATTGTCGGCTTCAAATTATTCTATTTGGAAGCCTATGATGGAGGATATCTTGTATTGTAAGGATTTATATGAGCTTATTGAAGGTGATAGTGCTAAGCTAAGCAATGTGAGTGACGGTGACTGGAAAAAGATGAACAGGAAAGCCATTGGATATATTAGACAGTGGGTTGATATTAATGTAATCCATCATATATCTCAAGAGACAAATGCACATAGTCTTTGGAAAAAATTGAAGAGTCTCTATGAGAGGAAGACTGCTCAAAATAAAGCTTTTGCTATTAGAAAGTTTGTGAATCTGAAGCTAAAGGAGAGAAAATCAGTTACTGAACATTTGAGTGAATTCCAAGACTTGATAAATCAGTTGACCACAATGAAAATAGTGCTAGATGATGAGATGCAAGCACTATTACTTCTGAGTTCATTGCTTGATAGTTGGGAGATTTTGGTGGTATCATTTAGTAACTCCGCTCCGAATGGTGTGTTGGAACTTACTCTAGTTAAAGACAGCTTGTTTAATGAAGAAATAAGAAGAAAAGACATCGATGGGAATGATGCACAGACTCTTATTACAGAGAACAGAGGTAGGAGTAAAAGCAGAGGTCCTAAAGGACGTGGTAATTTCAGAAGTCAGTCAAAGACAAGAGGGAAGATTAAATGTTTTTATTGTGATGAAGAGGGTCATATAAAGAAACATTGCATGGCTTGGAAAAATAAATTAAAAGAGGAGAAAAATTATTAGAAGACTGATCAAAATACAGCAGCTAGCGCTTCAGAAGAAGAAGAGGTAATGGTAGCAGTATTTTCGGCTGAAGATGAGCAGTGTTGTCATGTTGCAGATTCATTTGTTGAATGGGTTATTGACTCAGCGGCTTCTTACCATGTTACTCCAAGACAGGAGTTCTTCACTTCATACAATTCATGTAACTTCGGCAGAGTGAAGATGGGTAATGACAGTTTTACCAGTATTGCGGGAATTGGGGACATCTGTCTTCAAACAGATATTGGATGCAACTTGACATTGAAAAATGTGCGACATGTTCCTGAAATGCGCTTGAATTTGCTATCTACACATGCATTTGATGAAGTAGGGTATGACAGTTATTTTGGCAATGGAAGATGGAAACTAACAAAAGGGTCAATGGTATTTGCTAGAGGTAAGGTTTGTTGCACATTTACAAGACACAAGTAAAAGTGTGTAGTGAAGCGGTCAATGCAACTGAAAGTGATTCTTCACTAGACTTGTACGACAAGCGGTTAGCTCACATGAGCGAAAAAGGATTATAGATTTTGGCAAAGAAGTCTCTCATTCCTTTTACTAAAGGTACACTACTAAATTCTTGTAATTATTGTTTATTTGGTAAACAGCATAGAGTATTCTTTCAGAAATCCTCTAGCAGAAAATCTAATGTTTTGGATTTGATTTATTCTGATGTATGTGGTCCCATTGAGGTGGAGTCCTTAGGTGGTAATAAGTATTTTCTTACTTTTATTGATGATACTTCACGAAAGTTGTGGGTGTTCTTTTTGAGATCAAAAGACCAGGTTTTTTAGTACTTCAAAGAATTTCATGCCATGGTGGAACGGGAAAGTGGAAAGCTTTTGAAGTGTCTCCGAACTGACAACGAAGGGGAATATACATCTAAAGTATTTAAAGATTACTGCTCAAAACACGGTATTAGACATGAAAAGACAGTTCCTGGTACTCCACAGCACAAGGTGTGGTAGAGAGAATGAACCGTACAATTGTAGAAAATGTCAGAAGTATGTTAAGGATGGCTGGGTTATCTAAGTCATTCTAGGGTGAAGCAGTTCGAATAGCGTGCTACCTAATCCATTGGTCTCCATCAGCTCCTTTGGATTTTGAAATTCCAGAAAAATTGTGGACAGGAAAAGATGTTTCTTACTCTCACTTGAAGGTTTTTGGGTGCAAAGTATTTGCACATATGGTTAAGGAATAACGGTTGAAACTAGATGATAAAACTAGTCATTGAATTTTTGTTAGCTACGGAGATGCAGAATTTGACTATAGATTATGGGATCCAGAAAAGAAGAAAATATTTAGAAGCAGAGATATGATTTTTCATGAAAATCAGAAGTTGGCAGATTTTGAGAAATCTGGGAATCAAAGATGTGTTATTGAGGGTGTCATTGACCTTACACCTATCTCCTTGCCTTCAGACATTGTCACTCAGGGGGTAGAGACACACGTTGACAATCATGCTGATGAGCCAACAAGGGTTGATGATGATGATTTAGAGGATGTTGAGCAGGGGGAGCAGCCTACTACATCAGAATCTCAGATCAGAAGATCTACCAGGGAACATTGTCCACCAACCAGGTATCCAGTATCAGATTATGTGTTGGTAACTGAGGAAGGGGAGCCAGAACGTTTTCAAGAGGTAGAATCTCATAAGGACAAACAAAGTTGGGTGAAGGCTATGCAGGAAGAGATGAATTCTTTCCAGAAGAACAACACTTATGAGCTAGCAGAGCTTTCTAAAGGTAAAAAGGTATTGAAAAATAAATGGGAGTTCAAATTGAAGAAAGATGGTGAAAAGTAAGTAAAGTATAAAGCTCGATTGGTGGTAAAAGGCTTCGGTCAGAAGAAATGGATTGACTTTGATGAGATATTCTCTCCTGTTGTCAAAATGACGTCTATTCGAGTAGTTTTGGGTTTAGTAGCTAGTTTGGATCTTGAGCTTGAGCAGTTAGAGATTGGTTTATTGTGGTATTCCAATTTGTGGAGAATTCAAGTTTAGGGGTATAAACTTGAATAATTGTAATCTATATTTTATTATAGTGGATTTTGGCTGGAGTTGCCCCGTGGTTTTTTCCTTCTACACTGGAGGGTTTTTTCACGTAAAAATTTGGTGTTCCGTTTTGCTTTTTTTTGGTTTGATCATCTGATTGCATATTTAATTGGTCCAGTTAATTACTTGGATTGGTAAATTTATTTCTGCAATAATTGAATTTGCCCAACAAGTCCTCGCTTTACTTTCTGTAGTGCCGAATCAACAATCACTCTTACATGTCCCACTTGCCTACTTTACTTGTAATTATACTCAATTCAAAGTAATAAACAAACTAAAATACACCCACAATATTAGACACGTGTTGGAAAGTGTTTGCATACAATTTACAGCTTGTTTGGGAGTGATTTTTTCTCCTAAAAAATTTATTTTTTGACCGTTATTTCATTATTCTATCCGTTATATTTGATTCTTTCTCTCACAGGTGGATCCCACTTTTTTCCTAACGATCAAAAAATCAATTCTCAAAATCACTGCCAAATAAGCTCTTAAATTACAAACAAGTTGAAATCTAGGGTAAATAAGGGATGGTACTGATGCATTTTATGAAATGTGTGTGATCAAAAGTGAATTAATATCAGGGACGGATTGGTTGGGGGGGGTGGGACCTCAGGCTCAATAAGTTTTATTTTATTATTTTTTTAAAAATAAAAAATCAGTTTTTATGTATAATTTTTTTTTTCACTTATAAGCTCGATTTGAAATTTTTTTGTCCGATTTTGAATCTAATCCTAAATTCGTCTCGAATTATTGTGTTATAAATTGTTCATAAACATTAAGCAATCATGAGCTGTTGGCTAAGGATAAAAAGAAGTTGAATTAGTTGAAGTTTTTAAGTAATTATTATTATTATCTCTACGCATATTTTATCTTTTTATTTGCAAGTAAAAAGTTTATTATCTCCTTTTCAACTTTTATAGTAAACCTCTGTTTAATACGAATTAAAATAAATCAGTTATTAAATTGGATAAAAGTTAGTGAGATGTCGTTCCATAAGATGTGTGATTTAATTTCTAAAAGTCAGGGGCCAAAAAAACAACGACCCCTATTTTTGGCTCGTTTATTTTCAGGAACTTTATAATATTTGTAAAGGTATTAACGTTTCTCCAACATGTCCCCTATGTTTTACTTCGTTTGTTGTCGTCTTCGTTGTAAACCCTAGTCCAGTCTTTGTGTGCGTTCAGCGGTGAGTCTCCATGGCGAAAACCAGAGTGAAGAAACGAAGGCTCGCCAACAAATCACTCGCTCCCACCCCTAAAAGCGACAAAAAAATCAAGAACAAATCCAAATCCAGAACCCAATTATCCGATTCCGACTCCGAATTCGACCCGCAAACCAAGCTCCAAGCCCTCCTCGAGGCCTTCTCCAAAGACAAACTTATCACCCTCGTCACCGACCTCTGCTTATCCCACGACTCCCTTTTTTCCATTATAAAAACCGCTGCCGACAAGGACATCTCCCATCGCAAAATTTTTGTCTACGGTCTCGGTTGGGACACCACGCACGACTCCCTACAGTCGGTTTTTAAATCGTTTGGTGAAATAGAGGTTTTGAACATCGTGAATGATCGAGCAACTGGAAAGTGCAAGGGGTATGCTTTTGTAACCTATAAAACCCGGCAATCTGCGAAGAAATTATTGGAAAACCCTAAAATTAACATTGGCAACCGTGTGGCCTCGTGCCAGCTGGCCTCAGCGGGTCCCAATGCTGCTCCAGCTCCAGCTCCAGCTCCAGAAACAGTTATCCGTCTGCCGTCTTCTGGGGATTATGCAAACAGGAAGATTTATATAAGTAATGTGCCAGTGAATGCGAGTGCAGAGCAGTTGAGGGGTTATTTTGAGAAATTTGGGGAAATTGAGAGTGGACCAACTGGGTTGGACCCCGCAACAGGGAAATTTAAAGGGTACGCAATTTTCGTGTATAAAAATTTGGAGGGAGCTAAAAGGGTTTTAGAGGAGCCTTACAAAGTATTTGAAGGGCATCAATTGCACTGCCAGAAGGCCACGGAGGGGAAGAGTAAGGTGGGTAGTGGTTCAGCATCAATAACTACCACGTTGCAACCAGTTCAGCCGCACATGGTGGCAGCAGCAGCCTCTCAGCAGGCACAGAATCTGGCATTGTTGGGGCAGCAGACAGGATTTGTGAATCCTTTGTATGGTGGTGGGTCGATTGGGAATGCAAATTTGGGTGGTTTGATGGGAGGGTATTATGGGATGATGGGAGGTCAGCTTCAGGGCATAGGTTTAGGGGCTTATGGTGGTGTTGGCAGTGGAGGGTCAAGTGGGGCAATTCTTCCGGGGTTGGGTTTAGGTGCTTATAATGGTAGTGGTGCTGGTGCTGGTATTGGGGGGTCAAGTGGGGCGATGCTGCAGGGGTTGGGTTTGGGTGCTTATAGTGGTGCAGGTGCTGGCAGTGGGGGGTCAAGTGGCGCGATGCTGCAGGGGCTGGGTTTAGGTGCCTATGGTGGTGCTGGTGCTGGTAGTGGAGGATCAAGCGCAGCAATGCTTATGCGGTTGCAGCATGTGTACCCAAGAATACAGAGTGAACATACATCCTTGGCTAAGTCTCCGAGGACTGGCAGAGGTGGTTACTCTGCGAACTTGTGGTATGGTTCATTCCTCATTTTGTGTAGCTACATTTCTGTCTGCTTCTCAAATATTTGTGTACTGCATTATAGGTACAAGCATTATTCTCAACGTCCGCTACATTATATTTTGTGCTGATTGACAAGCAAATGCAGGATATTTTTTTCTCAATTGATCCGCAAGAGTAATAACAAAGTTGGATGTCTTTTTATAGGAGTTGAGAAGTAAACACAAAATTGAAGATTAAGTTTAGGAAATGTAGAGTATACTAGAAAATAATAAATAGTCAAACGAAAAGGTAAAGTTTACTATTAATTACAGGCAGCTACAAAGTCTAGGAGCTGAATTGTACCAAAATTAGTCCCCCACTTGGTATAGAATGAATTGCCCCTTCACCTATTTGAAGTGCTAGAAATTTGATCTCTAATAGAAATCTATTCTTAAGAACATCTTCTTTGACAAGGGACCCATGCAATTATCTAAAGTTTGTACCTTGAGACTTTGGATTGTTAATTGTCTGTTGGCTGTAGTGAGAAATTGGTTTATGGGTCAGATGCGTTGAGTGGGTTATGGGATTGATCTCATTAGTGGTTTCGGGTTGTAGGCCAAAACTACTAGGTTTCTGAATCTTCCATAGTGGATATCAACCCATTTAATTAAGTTGTTATGGACTCAAAGAATTGAAAAGGTAAATACATAGACAAGGAATACTATCCAATAAAATCATGGAAAGAAAATAGAAGCTCTTATTAATTCAAAGTATATAACTTATCTAATCATACGGTGGAACCAAATATACAACTCTTGGATTCTGTCCTAAAAGGCGAGAGTAGAAATTTCTCATGTAAATTGTAAATTGAGAAGTAACTTACTATTTGGGACCAGAACAAGTTCTTAACTCTAAAAGCCAACTATTTTTGAATTTATCTGTAGGCCATTTGTTGTGGTGAAAGTTTAGATTGTTAAAATGGGATTGTAAAAACCCATTTTAGTGAGCCTATTAGTACAATTGTGGAGATGATTAAGAAGTATCAAGAAGAGATATCTTTGGAAACAAAACCATTCCTTATAGACAAATGCATATAAAGTTTGAAGATCAAACAAATGCTATTAAGCCAACTGTTTTTGATGGGTTGGAATGCTACACTTTGAAGAAGCTTAACTGACAAAAATGGACGAAGCATAAGTGTGCATGTCAAATATGGACTTGCCTTCTATCAAGAAATATTAAGTTTCATCAAAATTATACTTAGGATTATGTCTTTGTTCTTGGTGTCCTTTTAGTTTGGTGGTTACTTTTATAGAACGAAATACCTATTCCTTGATAGATAATAAATTATTTATCGTGTTTTATAGAACAAAAAACAAGAGAGGAATTTTTGATGGATTGGCACTCTGTGGATCCAAGGAATGCTCTATAATTTTGAAGTGATTCCAGAATGAAATTTCAAAATTTACCCCCTGTTTTGTAACTTTTCTTTCAGAACTTTTTTTCTCATGCTCATTTTGAACCACACGTTCTCACACGAGGTGCATATTCAAGTGGGAGAGGATGATAGGAGCAGATGGAAGTTTGCACGGGATGGTATTTTCTCAGTTTGCACTTATTTTAGATCCATATTGGAATCGACGGAGAGTTCATTTCCTTGGAAGATGGTGTGGCAATGTAAACTGCCCCACGGGTGGCTTTCTTGTTATGGACGGTTGTGAGGGGACAGACATTAACGGTGGATAATTTTCGTAGAAAAGGTTTTTACGTTACCGAATGGTGTGATATGTGCAAGAGAGACGGAGAAACGAATGACTATTTGTTCCTTTATTGTGAAGGTGTTCGGTGGTTGTGGAACACTATTCTAGCTTCCCAACATATGGATTGGGTGATGCCTAGGCATATGGAGGATGTGTTGTGAGCATGGAGGAGAAAATCCCGAGATAAGGATAGTAGGCTTGTGTGGAACCTTATTTCGGGATGCATTGTATGGTGTGTATGGTGAGAAAGGAATAGCCGTTGTTTCGAAGACCAAGCAAGAACAACAAAGCAAATTAAAAAATGGTTCTATATGACTTTGTATACTTGGTCTAAGACTGCAGCCACAAATTATGTAGAAGGGCTACCAAATTTTATGTCGTTTCTTTCCTGTTTAAATTGATAATACTCCCCATATATTATCTATTAATAAAATTACTTGATTACTTATAAATATGTATATATATATTTTTCACGTAAACCCAAAACTTTTTCTTACTTTTTAATCACACATTCTCCAAAAATTTACTATTTAAAATCTCATTCTTCCCAAACAAGGGCTGTCAAATAGGGCTTAATCATATAAGAAGAGCAAATGTTGTCTTGGTTAAAGTTTTTATGGAACATATAATGGGTTCACACCCTAAAGGTTTGAAACGCTGAACTAGGACTTGGACAAGCAATACCCAATTAGTTAAGATAGATCATTGTTGAGTTGAGACTGATTAATGAGGATGTATTGGTTATTAATAGGATTAATAAAGATTGTCATTAATAAGGATGTTTTAGGGATGAAAACTTAATTTATTGAAGAGAAAGAATCTCTGTGATAAATACAGATAGTTTTCTAACCAAAAATAGAAGGATCTACGGAAAAAAGCAAAAGATGAAGAGTGAAATTCAAATTTATTTGGGCAATTAGTGGATTCACTGGATTGTATGAAGCTTCTCATTTAGTTTCATTCGCTGCTTTCCGTTTTCATAATAATTTTTTCCAGATATTGTAGGTTTTCGTGATAAACAAAGTAACTTTTGCGGTTATTATGCCTTTTGTTTCTGTATTACCTCCTGACAGTCTTAGTCATTCCTGCAGAAGAATTGTGGCTGAGCTCGAGAAGCAAGTTAATATAGTTTTGGCAAATGTCCAGTGGCTTAATTTGGGTCAGTGGCTTGGTCGTGGAATATGACATTGCAGCTTTATGTTTTTATCTTTTATTACTTTTCTCGTAGTTCACTTTATTATGTCCTTTTACTAACATTTGAAGAACTTCATAGATAATAATTCATATTATTGCAAAACCTTTTATTACCTCTTCCTACGGTTTTAATGATTTTAACCTTTCTCAGTATTTTGGTCTCTTTTAATTCTCGTTTTCCAAGTTTTGTTTGATTTTGGTGATATTTGAGTAATGTTCTGTTTTATTCTCCCTTGTGTTATTTTTTTTCTTTGAGTTGTTTCTTTCCCTTTTTCTATTATGTTTCTTCCGTTAAGGATGAACATGATGTTTATGGGCTGTGGATATGTAATTTGCCATGTTAATTTTTTGATGTCATCTTTGGCACACAAGGGTTTGTTTTGTCTTTATTGTTTTCCAGACAACTTGCTGCTGGAATTATTCTTAAGTGATAGCATTTTTTAAAGTACTCATTTTGAGCATTTATGAGCGGATCGGTTTTGAGTGATTTTAGTAAAGATTTTTAAAACAGTCCAACCCATGCTTGGGAGTTTATTATTCATCGGTTTTGTAAGTTATTCAAAGAATAAAATTACATATATGTCCCTTAGTGAAATTTTTAGTTTATAGTTTCTTATATGAAATTTTTTTACTCACAAGTGATATTTTACTTATAGGTAATAGGTTACGTATAAGTTAATAGTTAACTTAAAAAGTTAAATAAAATTAAATACTCACTTAAAATTTTAATAGTATTTTTACTTATAAGTAAACTTTACAATTATAAGTTAATTTTGTACCTTTAAATAATTTTTACAAATAACTGAATTTTTTAATTATAAGTAAATTTTTATATTTTATAACTTTTATCTTATTAGTAGTATTTTTACTTTATAAACAAATTTTTACACAAAAGTGAATTTTTATCTTATAAGTAATATTTTACTTATAATTAATTTTTTTAACTATAATGTAATTTTCTTTCTTATAAATAATTTTTTTAGTTAATATATAATTTTATTTACAAGTTAGTTTTGGAAAAATATGTTGATTGAAAATAATTATTTTATAAATAGTAAACTTAGAAGAGAATACGAAAAAGGGTTTATGCTACAGTGGTTTTGGGTGGTTTTTAAACCATCTAAAAAGGTGCTAAAAAACACTAGCAATCAACGATTTTTTCAACTCCTAGTAAAGGGTGCCACCTAAAACCTGTCAAAACCAGTGAAAAACAAACTCCCAAGCAGGAGGACATTGGGTTTGCCCCATTTGATGTCAGATGAGTTGAATTTGCGTATTAGTTATTGCTAAACTTGTTTTATGGTTTATGTTGAATAGCTGATCAATATTCAAGAAAGGCTTCTCTTTTCCACTTTCTGCAATGTAGTTTCTTCCCATAAAATTTAGGTTAGTTACTATTGCATTCTTGATCATTTTTGGAGAATTATGTATTTATGATATTCATAGTGTTCCTCACTTCGATGTTAATTGACCAACTTAACATTGATAGTTGTGTGAGCATGGTTCTTTGGCATTAGATGCTGAAGAAAAAAAAGAAAAAAAAAAAAAAAACTCTTTGTTATCAAGTTTTAACTTGCTCTTTCGTTGTATATTGTATTACCTTGCCAAGTACCATACAGTACACTGAGAAAGAAGCCTGAAAGTGTGAAAATTGAGGAAAACTTTGCTAGTAATTATTGATGCCCTTTATTTTCACTTGGGAAAAAAATTGTATTATAAATTTACTTCGTGGTGAATTATGCATTTCCCAAATTCTTGTTAGGACAATCACTAATCTTTTTCCCCCTATTGGGTTTTCTATTCTATTTTTGGTCATTATTGATTTTATTAAATATTATGTTTATATGTTTGCCATTTCTTAGAGTTGTATACTAACCCTGGTATCCTCTCTGTTATATTTTTACAAGTTTTTGGGCATTTGATGGTACACATACTTCTCTTTGTACCTTATGAGTAATTTAATTTTTAGCCTTGAAAAAAAGATAAAAAATGGAACTTTACTTATTCTAACAATTGAAACATATCGATCCTCCTTATAGGATATATAATATTGGAAAGTAATTTTTGAGGTCTTGTTTCCTTTTGTTTTCGTCTTCCCTGTTTTTTGTGTTTTCCATTGTCATTTTCCATCAGAAGTTTATGACAAGCTCTGACCCGACTGGATGAACAATGTTTGAGAGAGAATATTTCTCATGATATGGAGGTGATCTTGGTGCCTTTTAGCATCTATCGATCCTTATGGTTAAGCTGAGGAAAAAGGCTTGGATTTTATTTGTGAATTCATGCTTCATATGATGAACTGACTCGGTGAGGTATGAGGTACTTCTGGACGCCTACTATGTAACTGGTTTGCTAAATCACTGTGAAGTTAATTGACTCCCTTTTTATTTCTACAATGTTCTGCCCTATTATTGGTTGTGAGGTTTCTTTTTCTTCTTCGACTTTACCCCATTTGATGCCTTGGCATTAGTTATGTTTTTCATATCTCGGGATTCTTATAGAAGCACTCTTGCGATAACCTTCTGTGCGCCTCCCCCGGCTGGGGGCCATTGGTAATGTTTTCCATATCTCGGGATTCTTATAGGAGTACTCTTGCTAGTATATTATGGTTCTCTCTGATGATCAACAGATCAAGTCATTCACTCCAGTAGTGTCTTGCCTCTATTCTCTACATTTTAAGACTTGTGTTATATTAACCTATGAGATTTTAATTTCCCTTTTTCCGTAATATTGTAACTCATCTTGCCAAACTGATCAATTTTAAAAAATGCAAATGCCGTACAGTATTACATGTGCTAGAATAATATAATGTGGAAATTAAACATCATTCTGAGCCTTTTGACGGATAATATGGGATCAATGGTTTATATATTGTCTCAAATTCAAGTCTAATTTTTAGTATTAAAGTATGGGAAAAGGGCATTCCAGTTATTTTACAACCAAATTGCGTGCATGATTATTCCAAGAAATGATACTACATGATAATATAGTGTTGACATTGCCTCAACCTGAGTTGACTCTCGATTAATGAAAGAAACATCCCCAGCTGCTAAGCATTAGACAACATTTCTATGATATTTTACTTCTTCCTCTTCTTTGGGGGTTGAAGTGTTTCTTCCTCCTCCTCCTCCTCTTCTTCTTCTTCCACATCTTCTTCCTCATCCTCTTCCTCTTCCTCATTGCCAGCTCCTTCATCCTCGTCTGCTTCATCATCTTCGTCTGCTTCATCATCATCGTCATCTTGATCATCTTCCTCGTCAACATTTTCTTCCTTGTCTGGACCTTTTTTATTACCGCCAGGGTTTCCATCTTCATAAGATATGTCTTCCTTGCCTTCTCCATCTCCATCTCCATCTCCATCTCCATCATCTTCTTCATCCTCATCTCCATTTCCATCACCATTCTCAGCATCTATCGCCTTGCAGGGGAAACCCTTTTGATGATCTCCGCTCGTCTTGGGTTCCATCAATAGCTTCATGTACTCCTGATTATATATGAGATGATTTATGTCATCGTAATGTGTAATAATTTTTTACTAAAAATTTTTTTTGTCAGTGGGCAAAGAATTCCCCTATTTTGGGACTGTATTAGTGGCAGTCATAATGAAAATTAATACAATTATTTCAAACGTATGGGGGGAAATCAAAATATGCACTCGAGTAAAATTGAATAAATCGAAGGACCGAGTCAACTCGGTTTAATTTCACAAAATTTACCTGTGTTAGAAACAGGTACTGGGTTTTGACCAGAGTCGAGACTATCAAAGTGGCTAAAGGCGCTTCACCACCGGCGCATGTTAGCAGGCTTTGTTCAACCATAGTTACGCCCACAGAACCGCTGTCAATCCCCATACTTTACTCCACAAAGCACAAAGCACTACCTGTTAAGTACAGACCGTCGGATATAGCTAATCTAATTAACAAACAACCGTCAGATCTTAATTAACAAATAACATCAAGAACAGCAAAACGGATTTTACAAAAACTTGAAGGGAAAAAATAGAAGACAAATATTACTTTTACTCGTCACAGAAATCGAAGGAAAATCTTCCGAAAACATATGATAATCAGCATAACTTTATAAAGTAAAATTCAAAGAGCATCAGTGTCGAGACCCAAGAAATTCAAGCAATTTTTTTGCACAATTACAGATTACAGAAACAATATAAAAAACTAGAAAAATCGGACACTGAAAAACAAAAATAGGCGAAATTGGAGATCAAGCAGAGACGGATGAGAAAGCTTACCAGAAGCAGAGATCTGAGCTTGGATTGGTGGAATCTCAGCTAAAATCTGGGGAAACTGAGTTCAGAGGCAACTTTCATTCTGGACCGTCCGATCAAGCGGAGAAAACTACAGAGACAGACAGATGTAAATATAATCTTTAAGAGAAGCAGCACAGTGCGTGTGCGTGGATGTTACTGAGGAAGCTGCCCGTAATCTCGGGCAGCTTTTGGATCAAGTGGACTGGCCAAATACCCAGCGGGCAAAGGCTGCCCGGAATAGAGTTGGACAGGTGTAATTTAATTAAGGTTAAAAGTTTTAATTAAATTAAAAATTAAAATTTACGAAGAAGACAAGACTTTGCGAAAAAAGTCAAAATAATATAATAAGGTGTTGCTTTTTACCATGCTTAAATTGTCTAACCATGGTCGGGCATTGGAATTTTCTTTTCTTTTATTATTTGTAGTTTTAAATTAAAGCGTCGCGACGCCTTGTACGTGATTCGATGCACAGCTCCCCAATTTGACTAATGTAATGATATTTTAGCTCATATTTAATTTATTTAAAAATTAATTTTTAATAAATTTTGATAAACCTTATTCAAATATATGATTGAAAAATTGTAACTTTGTACACTTATTAGAATGGGAAATAAATTGACCTAAAAACTCCAAAAATATATGGAACTCTAACACCTTAATAGTATCGTTGAACCGTGTTATCACTATATAGTTGAATCAGGTCTTTCTCTTCTTCATCAATCCTCTATGCCCAAGAACTATTTGACTTATGCGTTGCCAACGACTGTTCATTTGACCAATCAATCATATGCCTATTCGACTATGTTGGAAAAAATGGGTTACTGGATGATTTTGATATAAAATTTGAGTGAGACTCGTTGAAAAATCAAAGTTGATCCACGTTCTTCTCCGTGAGAGTATCAAAATTATATATTTACTTGGCAAAATTGATGAATGGATTAATGAGAAATTGGAGTTCAAAATTGACCATTGAAAGATGGTTTATGTGGGAAAATAAAACTAGTCCCATATAGGAAAATGAAGAAAGTATGAACCACTTTATATAGGATTAAACTTGGGAATGGTGTGTTCATGTATAGCATAGAGGCTCTCTCCACGTGCGCACGCAGAGGGGTGCAAATCAAGGATTGAAATTGTACATTGAGCCTTAAATTTGTGTACGGGCACGATCTACGTACACGAGTGTCTGATCGAACGGAGCAAAAATTGGCCGCTTTGGATAGTCCACGTTTTGCTAAATTTTTTTAGCTTTTCTTTAACTGACTGTTTAAATCTTAAAACAGTCGAAACTCCAATATTCATTGTCGAGTTAATGACGTAACTCCTGGCCTTGAAGTCTCCATTACAGTCTATTTATTCAGCAAGCTCCTCCACTGCATACACAGGAAATACAAGGGAAAAACCTTTGCATAGTCATTCTTTGTCTGCATAAATACTTTGAGTTTCTGTCTGCATATTGGTGGTGATACAGTTCGAACACTGAAACAATTCGTCGGAGGGGTGTTTGCAGTGCTCAAATTCTGCTGTATTATCATTGTATACTATGAAACAGACACTCGTATTAAAATTCAAGCACGCAAGGTGAGATGACGAATCTATTTTAAGGAAACTGTGTTTGCATTGATCTCGGGTTAAAAGTTTATTTTCAGAATTATATACTTTCCAGTTTGAATCTCCGTACATTTTGTTATTTGCAAATTTACATGCTTTCTAGATTTTAGTTAACTTTTCTAGTTTAAATCTCTGTTTCTGGAATTTATATTGCTTTTGTGTCTCTACAAATAATATAATTTGTTATACTTGTTTAAGTAGATTAATTTGCTTTAATTCTCACAATTTAGATCATATTTTGTATGTACGAATCGGTATATGAAACTTTGTTTGTGCAAATCCAGTATGTGTAAGTGTGAAACTGGTATCTAGAGACAATATATGCATATACGATAGGCAGCATATGCGGTATGCTAAGCTGTTGCATATATGGTATGCTGTTCAAATACGGTATGCTACAAATACGATATGTGTAAATATAATATGCTGCATATGCAGTAAGCTGTAAATACGATGTGCGTAAATACGGTATGTATAAATCCAACATGTAAAGTTCATATACAGTATGAATGAATCTGATTTCATCCACTACACTAAAATCCAACAGACTACTAAATAACTACTTTTCTTACATTCTACTATTTAAGTCACCACCCAACTATAATAAACTGCATGTTTGATTACTTTCCATGGATGAAACCATATCGGCTCTCCAAAGTAGGGGTATACCCACATGAGGTCATGTGGGGTCAAATGACCCCCACAAAACTTTGCCTCATTTTTTTTTTTTTTTTTTTATCTATTTTGATCACTCATTACGGTATGTCGAATGAAGTTAAAATACTTTATTTTTAATACTATTTCGAAGTGCTTATGGTCTAGTTTTTCACTCATTAATGGTGTGCAAAGTAGTCAACTATAGCAAAAGTTACGACATTTCAAAATAGGCAATTTGAAACTACTATTTTGAGAATTTCGATAACATCCTAACTTGTAAAATTCGTCAGCGATCATGTGCTATTTGAATTCACAAATCGCCTATGTCATATAGAAGCTCATTCAAAAACTATATCGTTTTCATATCAAATGGTTCAAACAGATATCGAAAATAGTTAAATATGTGTTAAATTTACGTCTTAAAAAAGACGTTTAACTCATCTTTTCTTTTAAAAATTCAATTATTTTATTAACGTTTATTATTTTTACACGATAAATTTTTCAATATAATTTATATCATTTTATTAGAAAATTTTACATGGAATATGACATAAAAAAATTTAGGATCATTATGGATTAAATATAATTTAAATTACTTTCGGATTATATTTTCTTTAAATTTGAATTTCATTTACTTCCTTGATTAAACTTGAAATTTATTTCAATTTCATTTATGAAATGATAAACAAACCTATACAAGTAGCAAATTTTATTTAATAACATTGATAATGATATAATTATACAACGTTTTCAAAGTATCAAAATATGTATTAACTTATTTCCATTAATATGTTGTTCTTTTAAAAAAATATATTTAAATTTTTGACCCCACAACAGTAAAAGTCTTGAGTCCTCCCCTACTCCAAACTTAATGCAAAATATAATATACAACTCTAGGAATGGTATTTGTAAAAGACACCTCACCCTTTGCCTCAACCTCACCTTTTACCACCACCACAAGTCTTTCTCCATACACTTCATCTTCTTCTATCGTTTCTCGAGCATGATTAAGTGTGTCCTTAACAACGATCGTGTTATAACCGAAAATGGTAAATTTATGGAATGACTCCACTCAAATATAATACTAGTAATTGGATTACACTCAAACATCGTAGTTCAATCGCATGACTAAACATGATAAAACTTCAAAAAAATGATGAAATTTTGATGCATTAATTGGACCCTAATATAGATTGGGAGATAGCATGCATTCTCAAAGTTGAAATTCAACTACTATTTTTTAAATTTTGAATTCAAAATAAGAGTGTTTCAATAAGAAATATTTAAAATTTGCTTTATAAACTACGAGTTCAAGTTAAAAAGGAAAAAAATTGTCGTTAAATATTCTCGTGTTCAATTTGAAAGGGAAAAGCCCCTTGAATATTGGGGGGCGCCACACAACCCCTTGGACGTACAGGGGTTGTTCAACCAGCAGGGCCCATTTGAGAAACATATCAATATTAAAATAAGGACGTGAAACGATAAATATATATACTATTTTCCATAGAATCTCTATCATTTTGAGACATCAAGTGAAACAGAATCTTAGTTACAGAGACAAGAATTTGTTCTATCATGTATTGGGTGATATATCAATGTCCCATCCAGAAAGCATCATCATTACAATTAAATTAACTGGGCCTTGAATTTACGTATTGTGAACTTCTTTGAGGCCCAATAAGATCAATTGGAACCCAATTAATTAGCTCCAGGTTGAAGGTTGTTCTTGGCCAATTGGTAAATTACTAAATTTCAACTCAATATCTAGAAATGGAATCCAGAAATTTTCAAGCAAGAATATGGCATTTTTTGGCTCGGATTTTAAGCCAATTTTTCTAGTATTCCTATCCAATACAAGCTTTTTCTTCTAAGAAGCATTAGATTCTTATGGCCAAGAAGATAATCAAATCTCGAAATTATGTTATGATTCCATTCAATGTTATATTTGATTGTTTTAAGGTATCGTTGATTACGGGAAGGATCCATTTAGCATGATTTTTAAAATGTTAAAAGCTATTTATGACACAAAAAATCTATTATTGAACATGTTTAGATAATTTTTTGGAAATACTTTGTCTGAATAAAAATATTTTTAAAGAAGTTTTTAGAAATCTTCTTCTACAAGAAGTACAAGCAAAAACAGAATTCATGCCAAAATATGCCCTAAAAAGTTTACATAAGGTTTAGTATATTCATTAATTAACATCAAACTATAACATTTTTTAGGCAAAAATGCCTAAAAATAAATTACACCACAAGTTTCTATACACATTTTTATTAAAATTTTATAGAGTGGTGTTTAAACACCAGTGATGGTAAAATAAGTTCGAGTACATATTGTTTTACTTGTACGTAATATAAAAACAATAGGGATATAATCTAACATAACTATAATTTATTAAAAATACAGAATTATACACTTTTATTTAGTCATTAACAATGCAAACTAAATTCATAAATGTTATATGAGGAATATAAAACAAATTTAATAGGAAAAAAAATCATCATAATAATAGAATATGAGTACTTAGCACGATGCAACGTATATGAGTTTCTCATGCATTTTATGTGGGAGTAACACTAGGCATCCTCGTATTTATGGGGCATCTAACTAAGAAGTCTCTCAAATAATACATCTAGTTGTAAAAACTAACTGAATTCAAATTAAAACAAAATAAAGTTCGATAACCTCAACGTGAATCTTCACTATAATTGAATAATTAATTATTCGCTTTCTACTTTCCTTTATCAAACGCACAATACATGCATCCACATGTGCCAAGTAAAGAAAGAATCGAAGTTTATCAACGTTTGCCACTTGTTTGGTAAAGCTTTTTCAAAATTTTAAGTTGAACAAATTTCATTTTCT